AATAAGCCCATAAATGGGTACTTATTCATAAAGGGGTCCAGACAAAACTTTTTTGTTACAAAAAAGTCCACACATGGTCCAGAGGTTTGTAAAAGACTAAATAGCCCCTCACATTTTAATATGCTCCAATCTCATCCTTTAATTTAATCTAACCTCAACTTGACCCCAAATTTCACAAATTATTCAATTTTGACCCAAAACACAATTTTATGGACAATTTCGTCTGCCGCAGCCGTTGACTTTATTTTTTCTTCTTGATTTTTCCGCCAGTTTCTGGCGTTGACTTTTTCATTTTTTTTCTTCTTTAAAATATCTTTTTCCCCCCATTTAAACAGCAATATTTTTGTGGTTGACAGTAATATTAACAATATTGTTGTTAAACACAGTTAAATTAACTATACTATAGTTTAACATAGTAATATAGGATAATTACACTTTTCGTCCCTATACTTTACCACTTATTCGTTTTTCGTCCTTAAACAAGTTGGGGTGACATTATTCATCCCTAAACATGCCATTTTTCTGCTATCTTCGTCCCTCCGTCAATTTGACTGGTTAGTTTGGACGGAAAATAACATGTGCTTCGCACATGATACGTAAGAGTCAACCCCTCTCTTCAATTTCAGATTGCATCTTCTTTAGAACATAAGTTTTCTTTTCCAAATGGCTAATTTCTTCAATATCACACCTCTTTGGACTCGTAAATAGCCTCAATAATCCCCAAAAGACAATTTTTTCCATCATACAAAAATCTGAAGCAAGGCAATTTATATTTTGAATGATGTTTTTCTTCGAAGAGAAGATGTTAATTAATATATTTGGATTTTTTGAATGAAATTTATAATATGTTAAGCTACTCAACAAGAATTCTTTGTTTTGTTACATATTGAGAATTTGCACGATTTGCAATTTTGTAAACTTTAATTTAGATTGCCTAACCTTATTAGTCATTATCTCCGTATTGGACGAAAACCCAATTGACGTTAACTACTCATTTAAACAAAAAAAAATTGTCATGGCCGGTGTAGGGGATATTAATCCTACATTATTTAAACTTGTTTTTGATTGATGCAATCTTCAATCGTGTCTAATAATATTGAATAGAAAAAAAATATTAGATGTAGTTGCATGTCTTTTATATTCATTAATTCTAAAGTGTGTGTATGCATACAAATTGCAAAAGGTTATTTCACTGTATGTTTTGAGTTCAAATATGGAAATTTCATGCAAAGTCAAAATAAATATTATTCATACAATAATTGTATCGTTCACATTCAATTATGCGAATTTCCTCTTAATTAGGTGGGAATGGGTCTCTTGCATGGTGGTGGCTCGTTTGCAAAGTTGAAATGGAATGTGCATGGTGGCTCGTTCTCTCTAGCAAAGTTTAAAGAGGAGTCTTGTTTGGTACCAATGCATGGGTAATTTGAGTTAATATGAGTTGGTTTCACGAAGCATATCAACAGCAGCATACATGTGAGTGGCCACGTGGATTAATCGTCCATGTCAGCACCATATATTAAGATTTTCAGGTTCACGTCAGATTTCCATCCAATGTAACAGCAATAATTAACGGCAGGACGGAAACTGCTAAAAAATGGCATGTTTAGGGACGAATAATGTCACTCCAACTTGTTTAGGGACGAAAAACGAATAAGTGGTAAAGTATAAGGACGAAAAATGTAATTATCCCTTAATCTCTAGCACACAAATATTAACACAACAAAAGTCATTATTATTGTATAGTTAACTTCATTTTTCACTTAACTCTTCCATATATTTATAATATACTAGAAAGGTGCGCGTGCTTTGTATGCGTCTTATTAATTTTCCTATCTATTTAAATTTATAATAAATTAAAAGATATTAATTACTTAATTATTATAATAAATTAACTAATTATATTGAAGTAATATTACTCCATTGCCCTTATATAATTGATATATTTAGGGTCATTTTTTTCTTTTCAAAAACAAGGTAGAAACCACTCCAAAATTCATCTTTTACAGGTAAAAAATATATACTGTAGATTTAGATATATGGTAGTTATACTGTTATTAGAGAATTTATCAAAAGAAAATATATACTGTTATTAGAGTAAATATTTTGTGAGATTGATAGTATTCTTTTGAATAGAATATAATAGAAAATCATTTATTACTTAATAGTTAAATAAATAAATAATTTCTTACGTGCACCACCATAACTTTTGAAAAAATATCATTCTTGTTTATATCTTTATTTCTGACTTATTAGTTTTTTAATTATTTTATTTGTATAAAAAAGTTAATAAAACTAAGAACACCAATTTGTAAATTTGTAAGTGTCAGGTAGCAAATGAATATTAAATCAGAAGATTCTTCTTGGTGATCAGCTACACAGCTGTAATGCTAATTGTTAAATCCCAAAAAAGTGGTACTTGTTTTTAAGACCATTTCTACATTTATACACAAAAGTTTATTATATTACCATTTCTCAACGACCACAACAGTTGGAAACTACTTCATCAGACCGCATTTACTAATAGAGAGGAGAAGTGCAGTCGAGAACTTTATTGGAAAGAAGATTGCCAAAAACTGTGAAGGACTCCCTGCAGCAATTATACAGGTTGGAGAGAATCTACGTGGAAAATCTTTTGAAGAATGGAAAACATTATCAGAAAAAGAAGATCCACTCGTCATCACAAGATATGACGATACGCCACTCTCAAAGGCACTGTTTTTTAGTTACATGATGTTGCCTCAGCATCTAAAGCCATTCTTTATGTATATGGGTGTGTTCCCAAAACATTATGGGATTTCTCGATCAAAGCTCATCAAATTATGGGTCTCTGAGAGCTTTCTGGGGACAGAACCGGGGATTGAAGAAATTGCTGGAAACGCCTTGGGTCTGCTTATTGTGCAAAGTGTTGTTTTGAAAGAAAAACACGCCTCTGTAGATATGTATAAATGTAAGAACACTAGCCTGCATTTCACCTTTCGAAGTTTATGTGTTAGTGAAGCTAAGAGTGAAAAGTTTTTTCATATCTTGAAAAAGTACACCGATTGTACTCCAGAGAACATCAAAAGGCAGCAGCGTTTGTGCATCCACAATAATGTTGTTCTTGCTTTCACACAAGTTCATGAATGGATGGAATTGGTTCCGAATGCACAATCTCTTCTTTGTTTCGGTCCAAAACAACAATATCCAGTATTGTTGCCCTTTTGTTTTAGATTGCTCAAGGTACTAGATGCACTTGCGCTCCGCTTCTACGAGTTCCCACATCAACTACTTGCGTTAGTTCACTTGACGCACCTTTCCATCACGTGTGACAGAGAGCTCCCCAACTACATCTCCACACTTTCAAACCTTGACGTATTGATTTTCACTCGCTATCATAACATCAAATTTTCGAATAATGGTCCAGTTTGTCTGCCTATAGATATCTGGAACATGCATAAACTGAGGCAACTTTATTGCGAGGGCTTCGACCTCCAACCTCCTCCAGATAATTCTCATCTTGAGAATCTTTTAACAGTTTCGGGTGTGAGTGCTCACAGTTGTATCACAGAGGTGCTTTCAAGAATCCCCAATTTGAACAGAATAGCCGTTCAGATTGAGTCGACACACGACTCAACCGAAACCTTCAATTTTTTCGGTCACTTTGCCTCTGTCTATGAGGAATTTGAGTCATTCAAATGTGTCGTTGTAAATCCTAATCTGAGCTCTCAAATTGTTCGTTCAGTTCCGAACTTTCCTATGAACATTAGGAAGATAAGCCTGAGTGGATGTGGATATCCTTGGGAGAATATGGAAGTGATTGCTTCATTACCGAATCTTATAGCGCTCAAACTGCGATGGTATGCCTTTTGCGGCCCTCTGTGGAAAACCAGCACAGGACAGTTCCCCAGTCTGGAGTTCTTGCTGCTGGAAGACTTGGATATAGAGAACTTGGAACTTGACATTCCATACTTAAGGTGGGTGATTGTTAGGCATTGTTATAAATTGGAAAACATCTCGAATCAATTCAAGAACACTGGACTACTAGAGGTAGATGATTGCAACCCATCCTTTATGAAGAAAATGCGCGAGTGTCGATCCTTTTTGGGTGCAGAAGCTAAAGTAGGTTCTTCAAGTACGGATCTATAAAGGTAATTAATGGTCGTCAAATCTATGTAAAAAAATTTAGGGTCAATTCAATGGTACACTTGAAGAATCTAATATATAGATGATCATATCCTAGCAATTTCTTTGACTAGGACTATATATCTCTTTCTTTTTTTGTCAACACGAAAATACTCTATTTTAAAAAACAGTATTGGACTTTATAATAAATTTTCTTAGTTTACAAAAACTGTTGCATTCTCTTCAAAGTGTTTCGAACCATTGAGCCGTTGAAACTCGAAAGAACGAAGATGTATACTCTAAAGAGTGATACCAAAAAAATCAGTGGCGTTTTTATCTTTACTTGTTACCAAATATTGTATCTTTCATCCTATAATCATTTTTCAGTTCATTAACCATTATATATCTACCAGAGCAATTCTATGTTGATTTTCAACTTAGCTGCACGGTGAATTTTGCTTTTTCTTCTGTGAATTTTTGGTAAGCTTGATCCTTGAAAATGTTGAAGAGAGGTTTTGTTTGATTTTTATTTATATGTGTGTACAGGATTATAATAAATTCCGAATGGCTAATCGTGTGTTGCTCGGCGATTGAGGCGGACCCCCCTCAAACAATTGCTATTATGATA